TGTTAACTGGGTCACCCCAAGATGGTGAGATTATATATAATTTTAAAAAATTATTTGTATTTCTCAAATAAATAGTGCTTAAAAACGAAAACAAAAAGTCTTTTAATTAGGTCTAACATTGACTAAACAGATTCACCAAATCCACCAAAAACAATGATGTACACTCATCCTTCTTTGAGCAAAGAACCAATTAGGGGGAAATAAAGAATATTCACAGTCCCATATTCTTTCTCTTTGTCTTCTTGAAACAGTAATATCAGCAATGGCACTTAAGTGTTCATTATTTCCCCCTCAGCAGAAGCTCCAGCTTAGTTTTTTATTTTGTTTATGCTTTGACTAAAATTTCAAAGATTTTACAGCAGTGCATGCTCTGAAAGATTGGATTGTAACGCAGCACCTTTGAACCCGAGTGTTGGAGGAAGGGTGTCTGGGACTGAGAGTTGAGGAAACATCTGGCAGTAGAACTCAGCCACTGACTAAGGGCATCCACTGAAGCCCCGTTAAATGCTGGGGAGGAAGCGGTTATGTTGAGCATAAATACAAAGTCCTCCGTAAATGACTTTCTCTGCTGCCCATGTACCAAACAGCTAGAAGGATGTTCTGTACTCCCTGCAACACTCCCTAGAGAAATGGAAAGGGGTCTTTGACCTTTCTGCCTGCCTGCTCCCCTCCACACCGTCCCAGGCCATGCATGCTTACGCTGCCCGCGTCAACACAGGGCCAGCCTCTGGGCAGCAGGGTTGGCTGAAGCTCCAGAGGGCTTTTTCACTATGGGTGTAGATGGAGTAAGGAAGGTTCTTTATGCTGACTTTCGGTAGGCTGAGCTCTCCATTCTTCAGATGACATACCGTAGCAGGTGGTGAAGCCCCCAGAGGGATGAGTTTGCCACGCACTGTCCCAAAGCCACACGCTCCCTAGGGCAGGGATCATGTCTGCCTCATTCACCACTGGAGACCTGGCAGCTCAAACAGGACCTCGCATGCCACGGGGCCTCCACAGGTAGTGAGGAAGTGATGCACGGAAGGAGTGAAGGAATGCAAACTTTCCTTTGGCACTTTGGAAACCTCTCACCTGGATGAGAGTAACCTCCTAACTGATCTTGTCCTTTCTACTTTTGCCCCTCTACAGTCCATTCTCCACACAAGAGCCAGAATGATCTTTTTTAAAAACAAATAAGGTTCTAAAATTAGATCATGGGGATGGCTGCACAACTCTGTAAATATACTAAAAATCACTGAATCGCATACTTCAGATGCATGACTTTTAGGTTGTGTACATTTGATCTCAATAAGGTGATTAAAAAATTATCATTCCCCTACTTAAAACCCTCCACTGGTTCCCCCTATTTCACTTAGAATTCACCAGGTTACCTATGGTGACCTGCAAAATCTTATCCCATGGGCTCTGGCTATCTCTCCTACTACCTCTCCTACCCTCTTCTCCCACCAGCCATCACTTACCTCTCACTAGTCTCTGAACCTGCCTACCTTGCTCCTGCCTTAAGGCCTTGCCCATGCTCCTGGCTCTACCCACAGTACTCTTCTCCATAATATTCTGAGTGATGCCTCTTTGCATTCTGGTCTTCCCACTCTGGCCTATGCTATTGCCAATCACCAACCTTCAACTCTACTTTCTATCATATTGTTTTTATAGCACTTCTCACTCTCTGAAAATTACTATATCATATTGTTCCCTTTACTCAAAGACAAATTCTGTGAGGGAAGAGAATCTTTTGGTGATTACCTCTGAAGAACGGCACCGACACGCAGTAGGTACTAACAAATGTCTGTTAAATGTGGACTGCCCGGTTCCTGCACAGTTTATTCTGCCAAGCCTGTCCAGAAAAACTAGTATCTACCTTAGTACAGCTTTACAAGAAAAATAATGTTGAAAAAAATTCTTATTGCTTTGGAATGATTATTTTTTACATGCATGGCAAAATTAGTTAGCTTCTGTCTGCAAACAGCTGTTCCCAAAATTTTCCACTATCACAAAGAAGTGTGAAGTGTGCGATTTTATATATACACACATATATATATAAAATCGCACACTTCACACATACATAAATATATATATATAGTGTTGATATTCCACTATACAAGCTGTAATTATAATGCCCCTAAAGTTTCAAACATACCTACTTTGGGGGGGTTAGGAGCAGGGCTGGCAGATCTTCCAGTCCAGACAATTACTAAAAGCAGCTGAATACTTAGAAAAACATGTAGACTGTAAGAAGTTGTCCTCATTCTACTTTCCTTGTTTGGAACTCTCAGAAAGCCATGGTGATATTTGTAAAATATACATACTTACAAAAACATACACATATTTACAAAAAGTTTTCCTTTTACTACTACACTCTTGGTAATTATCATTTCAGGAATGATGTAACTCAATCACAGTCACAACCTCTGAACCACTTCTAATAACATCTAAGATTCACATAAGCTCGATCTCCTTCAAAGTACTTCCTCATGAATTCTCATTTGACCTTTGCAACAGCCTATGGCAAAGAAAAGTGTTATTACTAGTACTTTTTTGAGGAAACATAAGTTCAAAGAATTAGAGAGACTTGTGCAAGATCCCTCTGTTAGGAGGGATTCTAGCCAAGGGTTTTTCTGACAAATCACTTGCCTTTTCTTCTTAAGGCCTCATCTGGGAAACTATAGCTGTTGCTACATACTATGTAATAAGAAGTATTAGCAATCAAAAGTGCTCCAGGGAATTAAGATTTGGTAATAGGATTAAGAGGGATTTATATTCAATTAAACTGTTTACTTCATTTTAATAATCGGTATGTTCCTAAAAAGTCCTCAGCTTGGCCTTTACTGTCACAAATTACACACATACAATGTAACTCTTTGTTGTAGCCATACTGACTCATGGAAATAGCACTAATGTTTAAGCAATCTGTTTTGGATAATTTTTGTTTTTGATATTTTTAATGACTGTGTTCCCACTGTTTACAAATGGTTTTATAAACAATAGGTTGAACTTTTAAAGATTTTTCAGAAGGAAATAAGGTTTTAATAAGTAACACTTTATATCAGAAAGTTATCTTCATACCAGCACTTGAGAAGTGCTTGCTTACTTCCAAAGAGTTTTAAAAAATCATCAGTGTCAGAGATTTTCTAAGTTTTACATTCTACATGGAAACTCACGGATATTAAGTAATTGACAGTCTTTTTTTTAAACCCACAGGATGTTTGACATTTCTTTTCTAGTTCTTATCGTGCATTAATTTCTCATAAGTCTTGGATAAATCTGTCAAACTAATCTTCAAGGATTTCTCCTTAAGCTCTAAACATTTAGCATTCCCATCAAGACCGACACAGCTTCTCCAAAGCAATTCCCAAAACTAGTATATCCTTACATAAATTTCTAAGTGTTTATTCTCTAGAGATAACTCTTGGGCTGTTATTCCAGTTAATAAGAGTAAATTCTGATGTAAAATATACTTCAGGGGAAACTGCAACAATTTCTTCCTTGAGAGTTCTGTTGATTACTTGGGATGAGAAAATCCCTCAACCAATCTAGTCACTATTTGCGTGTTTCATTACTATTCTTGGCAACCAACTGTCATTTTAAAACCAAGCAATAACCTACGTAATTTCCATTTTCCTTTTTTTCTTTTTGCATATCCTTCTTTCCCAGTCCCCCTCTCTCTACACAGCTCCACCTCCTCCACAAAACAGTCATTTCACTTTTTGTGAATTAAGAACGTTTCAGGGGCACCTGGGTGGCTCAGTGGGTTAAAGCCTCTGCCTTCGGCTCAGGTCATGATCCCAGGGTCCTGGGATCGAGCCCCACATCGGGCTCTCTGCTCAGCGGGGAGCCTGCTTCCTCCTCTCTCTCTGCCTGCCTCTCCGCCTACTTGTGATCTCTGTCAAATGAATAAATAAAATCTTTAAAAAAAAAAAAAAAAAAAAAAAGAACGTTTCAGTTGCTCACTGTAATGATCCGTGTATCTATTCTTTGCCTTTAAAACGGAGTAACCCCTATGGGTATCATTAGTCCAAATAACTGATTTTCATAAAGGACTTGAGGAGCTACAAGATCTCAAAGTGCCCTCTGAATCAAAGGTTTAATGGTGTTCTGCAATTTTTAGATTAAATATACTTTACTAAGAGCCAATTGCTTAAAAGTTTGGAAAGTAATATATCGTAGAACTAACTTGTTTCATCAGCCTATGAATCTGAATTAAGTCATCTCCTGGTTCTGTGGTATGAGCCACATACACAAAGATAGACTGATCTGCTCAGTAAATCATGAGATGCAGAAAACAAAGTAAAACTCCCAATACTCTATTAGAAAACACATGTGATTTCAGTAAGCTGACACGTGATCTCAGTAAGTGACAATGTTCCCCCAGAACTGCTAAATTGTACATATCAGCTAATAAACTTTGGTTTGAGCACCACCTAATGGCAGAGGATTTTTTTTTAAAAATCCTACTTTGCTTTCTGAGGCTTGCTTACCTTTGTATTTTATATTCATTTAGAAAACGTTCTGCTCTTTATTGAACTGAAGAGTTCTAAGTGTTCAGTTTTCTCAACAAGATTAAAGCCCTTTCCATGCCTACCTTGGAATGATAAACTGCCTTTTATAATGGGAAAATGCCCCAGTGAAATGAATGTTCCAAAAAATTCTACTCCATCTTTAAATATTTAAATTTAGCCTCATAATTTAGTAATATGTTTTTAATTGAATCATTTTAATTATTTAAGTGTTCTCAAACTCTTCTGCACCATATATCTTTATAATAACTTGTCACAAAGAAAACAGCTTATCTTCCCGAAAACATGGTACTTACTAGTAGAACTAAGTAATTTAACATATCTAAGTAGCTACTAAAACCAATTCTGAATGAATAACGATAGGCACACTTTTAAACCATACACGTTCAGTTTTTTTTCAAGAGGTCCCTGCTTCAGCCTAAAGTTTGTTTCACTTTGTGATTCAATAAAGAGGCAAAATATTTGGGACAGTAGAGAGCAAAACCAACGTTTTAAAAAAAAGTATTTATTATTTACACCACTGAAATAGTCCCGTAAGAACAATATACACCAAGTTTATTTGAAAGGGTCAGATTCCTTTCAAATACAAGAACTGTATAAAGCAATACTGTCAAGACAAAACAGTGGTCACATTACATATCTGCAGGCGTAAGCATTGCAAATAATTTTTTTTAATCTTATGGCTAAATATTTTCACTGAGACACAGTGTTTGCACTTAGATAAGATATAGGTGGAACAGAACAAAAACTCTTTGTTCATGCTTTCTAGGGCTGAACCAGTGAGATGTCCCCTTAAAAATGTATTGCCTTTAATTGCTTTTATGACAATGGTTTTAGGCAGAAGTGCTTCTACTTAGCCACCAAAAAAATAACTTTTGTTCCTTAGTTTTTATTCTTCAGTCTTATGTTTTCTATTTCTCATACTATGAGACACACTTGTATCACAGCTGACGTTTTCCAGTTTTACTCAAAGAACACAGACACACATATAGACCAAGCTGAGACAGCTCAAAATTTAGAGATGTAAATAGTGCACAATAAAAAGAGAAACTGTGTCTATGACAAAAGAATAAAAAATTCTTGGTGATTTTAAGCATACCAAACTAGATTCCTTACACACAAAAAATTTTTTTTGGTTTTAAAGGGAAAAGCAGTAGTTTCAAGATGGATTTGGTCTTAGATTTAGTCAGACAATAACACAAGGAGACAAAAACACAAGACATAACTTGTTTCCAAAGCCACAAAATGACATTGTTGAGTATACATTTTTGTCGACTTGTGTGTGTGTGTGTGGAGGGCGGGGGGACTCAGTACTCAATGCTGGAGAAAATATTTTTTAAGAGTAACAGTATATTCATATAGGGGAAAAAAGGATATTTTTAGCATATTGCTATGATCTTCAAAAAATATAAAATTAAATTTACAAAAAACTGGAAGACCAAGTATAAGCAGTCTGATATTCACTGCAGTGTCCAGCACTATCATAATGATTTCTAGCATAAAAGCAAGAAGTTCGTGATCTCAAGTATCCTCAATAACTGCTAGTACAGCTTGTAACTACTGTCCTTGCTTCTTTGACAGATACCTGCAAGAAACAAAGATGTCTTAGCTGAATCATGATACATTCACAATACAATCTAACTCTGCTCCCAAAAGCAGTGGTTCATTTTAATAATAAAACTTCTCCAGATGAGTGATAATGGTTAGTAATCGCTCATATCTGCTGATTGTTTTTATGTGCCAACCACTATTTTAAGTACAGGTATTAATTCATTCATCCCCACAACAGCTCTGTGAAGAGCTTTCTTCTAGAACTTATTCCTATTTTACAAGCACGAAGAGGCTAAGAAATTTGCCCAAGTTCAACCAACCAGAAAGTGGCAGAGCTGAGATTCAAAACAAGGCTCTGGAAACTGCGCTCCCCTCCCTTTGTACTGCCTGACTTCCTAACGTGAAAGTGATCCATTAACAGTGTAATATCTGAAAAGAACCTCAAACTCATTTAAAGATCTTATTTTTCTTGAGTAAAGACTGTGGGAAACAGACACTAAAGGACTCTGATCAAGAGTGTAAAAATAGAAAGACTTTTATTTACTAAGCAAATAATTTTTCCTTCATATTATTTGATAGAAATCTACCATTAAATTCAAATTTTTACATTTCTACTTCTCACGTTTACAAATTACTATACTCAGTAGTATGGGGGGTGGGGAATGAGGTCTTAAAATCAGAAGACCTGGACATGTTTTAATGGTGCAAAACTTGCTTACTTTGTGGCATTTATTAACTTCATGCCTTTGTTACATCATCAATAATTTGGAGATAAGGATAAAAATGCCTGCCTTACCTCCCTAATAGGATTATGAGAATCATCTAATAAGAAGCTATCTATCAGAGTGATCTAAAAAGCTAAACTGTTGTTATTACATGAATAGTTTCTTTTGTTGCTGCATTAATGCAAGCAGATCTTTAAAAATCAAATTCCAAAAACTGACTTGCAGTATACTATAATCCTGTCCACTTCCCCAGAGGTTTTCCCTGCTTCAGAATCTTGATGTTCATATGTGTGCTATATGTAAATGTGTGCATATGTTGTGCTTAGAAAAAAGACTAGAAGACCACACATCAAGATGGTTATGGTGGTTCTCTCTAGAAAGTAAAATCATTAAGTGATTGTTTCAATACTGGATTACAGTTTTGTAATTTTTCTGCTATACAGAAAGGTTACCTATAGAGTGATTTTAACAGGAAACTTTTTAGTGTGTTCTATCGCGACTTTATTTTATAGTATGAGGAACAGGGACTACCTTCCTATATGATTCATAAAACAGTGACCTATCCAGTGTCACAAAATAACTTATAAGTAGCAACACAAGTGTATACCAGTCTCAAATCTTCTCTCCTCTAAGTATTAAAGATCTTAAGAGATGCAGGTTTATGAACAAGGTAGAGATTAAGATGAAAGGGAAACAAACTTTTGGGAGAACAGTCACTGCATTAGAAAATAGTTTTAGAATTCACCCATCTTAAATAAAAGTTCAGAATTATGTGTATACCAGGGTCACCAGACAATGTTTTCATTCACTACTGTGAAAAGGAAATGAATAAGCATTTAGCACTTACCTTTCCCAGTATTTGTGATTTAGGTCCAAAAAGTCATCTAATTTTGCTATCTCCTTGAGGTACTGAGTTAACTTTAAAAGTTCTTTGTCTTTATCTCGATTTAGGTGCGCTTTCATAAAAGGCCTTATCTGTTAGAAAACAAACATTCAACACTTCACATTGCAATAAGGAAACTAGCACAAATCTACACTATCCTCTCATTCAAATTCAGTTAACAAGATGAAAATATTACTAAGGATGTCAGTACTAAAAATGACTTCTGCACTATCTCACTGTAATAAACTGAGAGTCCATGTACAATGTTTACAGTGCCCAGTTAAGAGCCCTTCTACCTCATGTACCTTATTGTTATCTTTGCAGTCTGAACCTGACAACACCAACTTTCTTCTAGCATTTGAGCCCTACATGGCTTCTTACTTTACAAAACTGCTAGATTTTTTTCTCTTCTATCAACTCAGCTGCTTCTTTCTAAATAAATACCTTAATTTATGTCACCCAGTTTATAAAAAGTTAACCCAAATAGAAGCGTGATCCAACAGGGGAGTGAGATAAATTTTAACAATAATGATCTTCATTTCAGTATTTTTCTATAAAATTTTATATAGCTAATATATTATACGCTTATATAACATGTCCTCTCACATTTTATCACATTATCATTAAAGTCTCCATAAAAATATTTTTTTAATTATACAAGAGTTTTCCCATAAAAAGAAGTCTATTTTCCAAATTTTAAAGGCTGATATATTTTATGATTAAAAGTATTCATTTCAAAAGCATGAAAGTCAGGATGGTAGAGCAGAGAATTATAATTAGTAGGGGATATTAATACCTTGACTTAGGTGGTAATTACATGTATTATCTTCATAATGATTTGTTAAATTATAGATTTATTTTAAAGATTTTATTTATTTATTTATTTATTTTTTAAAGATTTATTTATTTATTTATTTGACAGAGATCACAAGTAGACAGAGAAGCAGGCAGAGAGAGAGAGAGGGAAGCAGGCTCCCTGCTGAGCAGAGAGCCCGACGCGAGACTCGATCCCAGGACCCTGAGATCATGACCCGAGCCGAAGGCAGCGGCCTAACCCACTGAGCCACCCAGGCGCCCCTATTTATTTATTTGACACACAGAGAGAGATCATAAGTAGGCAGAGAGGCAGACAGAGAGAGAGATGGGGAAGAAGGCTCTCTGCCGAGCAGAGAGCCCGATACAGGGCTCAATCCCAGGACTCTGGGATCACGACTTGAGCCAAAGGCAGAGGCTTTAACCCACTAAGCCATCCAGGTGCCCCTTAAATTATAAATTTTAAGCACTTTTCTTTATGTCACGGTTCAAATAGTTTTGCTTTTTCAGGTATCAGCTCAAATATCTTTATAAAACTCAAGATACCCTTCCAAAAGTTTTTAATTAATTTCAGATAAGATGATATTCTGGGATTTTCTTCAAAATATTAGAGAGGGAAGTAGGTAGCATACTGAGCAAACATAATCATCTATGAATTAATAAGTTGTTTAAGCTGAATGATGCACAGGTAGGAGCTCCTTGCATAATTCCTATACAGTTCTATTTATATTTGGATTTTTTCATTTTATAAAAATTATTTTTTTATAATCATGCTCCTAAAACACACATATAAGGACTGAATAAATCATACTTAGTAAGGTATTAATATATCCTTATTGTGATTTAGAGAAAATATAAACTGCCTATTAGTTATTAATTTTACACAGTAACACTGAAAAACAGATGACATTTAATTCTGTCTCTGGTTGAGAACAATGAACCTAAAGAAGTCCATACCCTATCAAGAACAGGAAAGGTTTTAAGTATTTCTTTTTTCTTTTTTTTTTTTTAAGATTTTATTTATTTATTTGACAGACAGAGATCACAAGTAGGCAGAGAGGCAGGCAGAGAGAGAGAGAGGAGGAAGCAGGCTCCCCGCGGAGCAGAGAGTCCTGGGATCATGACCTGAGCCGAAGGCAGAGGCTTTAACCCACTGAGCCACCCAGGGGCCCCTAAGTATTTCTAATATACTTTTTATTATTGGAAAAACACACCACTATTCTTCCACATGTTATACTCCCATCAGAATAGCTTGGTGCCAGGGACCTCCACAGCTGTCAGTCAGCCAGGCTCCCATAACTTTAAGGGCACCAGAGTGAGTCTGTGCAGAAGCAAGCACTTGTAGGAGATCCTGCTTCCAAATAGGGAGAGTGGGCAGTGCTGTTTCACAGCAGCAGCAATGAATGTGGGAGATCAAGAGAAGGGTCTCTTGAAGAATCAGACCCTGCTTAAGTCCTGGGGCTGGAAGTAAAGAGGCATGATATCATGATTTGTGAAATGAGTTTCTACATAATCTTGGGTAATATTATAATATTTCAGAGTATTCCTTCATTCAAATAAAAACTGTGAAGACAACATGCTAACTTTTAAACTATTAAGATACAATGTACAATGTGATCCCTAGTTTACCAAGGCCCTGCTAAGTTACTTTTACTTTCTATATATTTGGTTGTAAGCACTATTAAATTGCAAAACTAAAATATTCCTATGACTCTTTTTTAACTTTAAAGGTTAAACTAGTTAAGTGGAAAAAAGTCTACTATTCACTTAACATCACTTGTTCTAGCATAATCACTTACTACTGTATCATTCTTTAAAAACAATGTCACTAGCAGGGCAGAATATATATGACCACTGTAGTCTCATACCAAAGAAACATTTTTAGGAACTTAAGATAGTCTAGATTATCTGCATTCTCTTATATCATCATTTCCTTATATAAATAAAAATGAAATTTTCAGGGTACTGATTTATCCACGACCAAAACTAAAGTTTTTTTAGTTCAGTACTGTACTCATAATTCACAATGCCTTCTATATTGTGTCAAACTTTAAGATTAGCAAGTTTATATCATTAGAAGTTTACTGTTCTAAAAATAAGCAGTCATCTTTAAGATCTCTGTGAAATCTCTTTTGAGACTTCTATCAAGAACATTATGAAACCATAACAAAACACAGAATAGTTCTCAATTTCAAAACTGTTTCTATGTCAATGTGGGCAAATCAATAACCACCTTGTTAAAAGAGGTTTTCAAAAAGAGACATGTGAGAGATTATCAGTGGAATGTTTAAAAATACCTCCCCTGAATTAAAATTTGGGGGGATTGTAGACATGTATTTTTAGAAATTCCTTCAATGATTCTATGGAATACCTAGTTTAAAAAAAAAAATCCTGCTCTAAAGTAATATGAAAAACTAGACATTTATATCACCTCTACCTCCAGAGATAAGTAGGGCCTAAATGTGGGCTGAGAAAATAAAGTTTGTTCTAAACACATATGAAACTAATGACTATTTTTTTTTTTTTTTAAGATAAAGCTTTCCTCAAAAATCATTCTTGAAGATCATGACTTCATCTCTTTTCCTGAACAGGTATTAAACATTAGTTTCATAGAGAATTTGGTTTCGAGCAATTGAAACTTTTCTCAAGAATTTATTCCTATACCTCACACCTGGTAAACTTCTCCCAAAGCCTCAAATAGAAACCATTTTTGGAGAGCAACATAATCACCAATCCACCTCAAGTTCTCTTCTTCCAAGTCAGCAGCTTTTATAAGGGTGGCAATTCACTACCAAGATCAGCATTGTCTCTATTCTTTCCTCACACACTAAAGACCACATTCAGAAATGTCAAGTTTCAAATGTTTATCTTACCAATTTTACAATGCTACCAGGATTAAATGTTACTATCATGCCTACACAAGATTGCATATGACTTCATGCGAAGATCACCACTGGCCTTAGCAATCAAGTCACTTAAATTCTAACTCAGATTCTGTCACTAACCAGTTACATACATGATTTTGGGCAAGTTACAAATTTTCTGATCCTCAGATTGTTTATATAAAGTTAAGAAGGGAGACAAAGTGACTGAAATTCCTAGCTCTGGTATTTTATAACTCTAAGATATCTAACTGCCCTGTATGAATTTTCAAAAACCTTAGTTTCAGTTTAAAAAAGAAATAATAAACCCTTACTGCCAGCTTTCCAGCTAACCAGAACATCAGAAATCCTAAGATTTGTATCCCTAATAAATTGCTGCTTTCACCTGAGATGCTGAGAGTCAATGTGAGTAATCCTATATTGTTCCACAGAGGTAACTAAACAGAAAACACCTGGGTGAATTGGCGAACCAAGAAGGTATCAATGTGGGAGAGAGAATGTTCAACTGTACATGAATTTTCTAAATATGTAAGCTTTCTTGCCTGTGACCATAATACAATACTTCTGAAAATTTATGAAATTCAACAGCGCTCAAGTTCTAGTATAAACTCCAGATTACATAGGCATAGCAAGCAAAATTATGTCTTACCTTTAGTCCATTCTGTGGGTTCATTAGAAAATTTCTTCCTATGTCATCAAACATTATGGTGTTTTTTTTGCTGTAAAACTCCGAAAACTTCCCCCATATAACACCAAGAGGCTTTACCTTAGAACAAAAGTTTAGATTTAACTCAAATTTTATCAATAGTTCATCCTTTCTTAAAAGCAGATATACTTCAAAATGCCCAAACTACATCAGAGCACTCCCTTCCTCCTGTAGGACACTGACCACTCGCTGTGTGAACAGACCACAGCTGAGACGCAACACACTGGAAAGCACAATGCATCTCACAATGTTAACTTCTGAAAGGTCCGCTCACGTCTACCTAACTAAACCCACTACAAGACTTCCCATAATTTTAACATGAAGATTTGGGGTCAAAAGAGGAGTAATTATTTAAAATACAAGAATTTAAAGTAATTGTTTAATTGTCTGCTGAGCAGTCACATGACTTCCTAGGCTAATACATGCCCCACAAAGCTTGAGTGTCACATGGGGGTGTGTTTTCAAAACTAGAAAACCTTTAATAACAAACAATGTGCCCGTTTCTATTAATACAGAACTTAATTATTTTGTAGAGGAAAACCGATTGTCTTAAATTCAGTGGCACAGGTGCACAATTTCCACAGGGCAAGTGGTTAACTTCAAAAGCACTATAATTTGCAAATTATTACTTTTATTTCTGAGTTGTTAAAATGAGCCTTCAAAAAGATAACTCCTTACATATTCTTACCTTTACTTGCATAAAGTCTCTGTAAGACCACACAAGAACAGTAGGAAGAGAAGACTAGGCGGCTAGGACCAGGGGGAGGAAGACTTTTCATCACATACTTTATTTTTATTTTTGAATCATATGAGTTTATTTTACACAATCAGAAAATTTTTTTTTAATAAATTAATTTTTAGAAAGTACTTTTTGCTGAAGACAAGAGTCTCTTTTACGGTAATATGAAGTTATATGAGAATAATAATTATAGGAGACTAAATGGTAGTAAATAAATGGTTAAAAGGTTGTCATTTAAAAACGTTTCTCTTTTTCTTTCTAGAACTTATTTTAATATAGAGAGACACTTTTTTCTTAGTGTCCTAGCTACTGCAAAAAATGTTTTTTAAAATTATTTTATTATTCTAAAATATTTTTATTTGCCTTAGTTTTTACTCTTTGTTTACTACTGAAACAAACCCCCCAAATACTTCAAGATAAATATGGAACTGACACAGTAAACCAGAGTCTTCATTTTCTTAGCTAACAAAAGCTTCAAGAAATAGGACAAGAACTTTAGTTTATGACACCCAGGGTTAAAATCCTACATCCTCTTAGGTAGTGCTGGCATTTTCTAATTATGTCAAGTGCCATTTGTTCCCTAAAATGTGGACTACTTTGTTCTCAATTAAAGAAATAATACTGCTGACTGTTAAAACAAAACAAAACAAAACAAAGAACTGAAAACACAGAAAAGCACACAGGAAAATTTTTAATTACGTATAATCCAGTCATTACCAAGGATTTATTTACCTCTGGTCTTTTCTTTCTTTTAAAGATTTTATTTATTTTAGAGAGAGACAGGGAGAGTGCAGGAGCAGGGAAATGGGTAGAGGGAGAGGAAGAGAGAGAATCTCAAGCAAACTCCATGCCTACCACACCCCTTGTGGGGCTGGAGCCCAGAACCCTGAGATCATGACCTGAGCCAAAACCAAGAGTCCAAGTTTAACTGACTGAGCCATCCAGGTGCTCCTCCTCCACTCTTTTTTATAAACATCAATAGCTTAGAATTCATAGATCTTTTGTTAAGGGGAAACCTGAACGGAATAAGGGTTAAAAACTACTTGTAGGGGCACCTGGGTGTCAGTAAGTGTGCCTTCGGCTCAGGTCGTGATCCCAGGATCCTGCAACAGAGCCCCGCATTGGATTACTTGCTCAGTGGGAAGCCTGCTTCTCCCTCTCCCACTACCCCTGATTGTGTGCCCTCTCTCGCTGTCTCTCTCTCTCTGTCAAATAAATAAAATCTTTACAAAACAAAACAATTTCTAACAGTCTGCAAATATTGCTAAGTACTTCTTTATGAAGAATCATGAAAAAATTTTAATCACTAAATATTCTGTTACATCAAATGGCTTCATTCCATTTTATGGATGAACAAAAATTTTTATATCCAATTCCCTACTATTAGATATTGAGGACTTATTCATTTTTTTCTTTAAGTATAATTATCATACAGTGTTATATCAGTTTCAAGTGTACAACACAGTGACTAGACAATTCTATACCTTACTCAGTGCTCACCATGTAAGTATAGTCACCATCTGTCATCATACAATGTTATCACATTATTGACTACATACATACCTTATTCTGTACTTTTATCTCCCTTATTTATTTCATAACTGGAAATTTGTCTTTCTTTATACCCTTCATCTTTTTCATCCATCCCCTCACCTATATGCTCTTCGGCGACCACCAGATTTATTTTTATTTTTCTAATTTTTCACTATTATAAACACAACTACATTTAACATTCCCCTAAAAAAACAGTGACTATTACAACACCTTCGAGTAAGAACTCAATAACAGGACTGTTACTTGATGAGTAAACAAAGTAAAGAACCCTCATCTTTTTAGCTCAACCCTTTTCTCTGATGGTTATTGTTGCTCTTCTCCAGGGTTACACATACATCACACCAAATTACATGCTTTCTGCTTTTACTTATCAGTTTTATATAGAGCAGGGTGAATATGTTTTGGTTTGCTTCTAGTATCTTCCTTGATGGTATTTCAGTATTTTTTCTCGCCTATTCTGTTTTGAGCAACACTATGCTCCCATCATCAAGGGACAATTATCCATGATCATTCTTGACAGTCTTGCTCAAGATCCTTAATTCTATCATTAATATTCCAATCTATTAACCTTACATACATCTTCCCATATCCAACTCAACTGATACTTTACTATCCACTGATAGTTAACTGATACTTTACTAGTATCCAGATGTACTTCTCAACTTTTTCTGTACTTAATTGCATCAACATAAATACAAAAAGTATACTAGAAAATAAACAAGTCTTTAAACAGAAGTAAAATGATTTCTTACATCTATTAATCCTCTCCTTGGAGTATGCACTGTTATCATAGCAGCACTGTCCAACATGAAGGTAATCTTATAATTTGCATTTGTGCTCACTCCCAGCTCCTATAAATCCAAATATCCATGTGGTTAAAATATAATATGCAAAATTCCAGGTTTTCTGAATATTCCAGCTATAATTTCCCATAATGCCAACTTCCTACCCAACTGGCCACCACACCTTGCTCAACAACTACTAAGTTTTTTAGTTTTGTTTAAGCCAACAAATCAAAGTCCAAAGAAAATAAACTAGAAATAGATTACATCCCATTATATATTTCAGAAGAACATCACTTCTTCATTACACACCAAAGAAAAGAAGGGGGAAAAAAGGCATTATTGTAAAATGGGGGTAAAAAGGAATGGAGCTCTGCTGTACTTTTTCTTGAAAAAGACTTAATTACACAATACATTCCACCATTAATCAGACTTTAAACACACCTCTACTCCTGATAATGGCAATTGTTTATCTATTAAATGCCCTCCAATGAGAATGAGATTAATTCAACTTGAAACTTCAAAAAAGACATATGCAATTCCAAAACGTTCTTAAATGGATTGTCTAACACTTACTTTCATTTTAGCTTCAATCCACTTCATATTTGTTGCGGCTAAAATATGAAGAATGATAATACGATACAAATGAAAAGCTTGAATTTCATTTAAAAACTTTTTCTTCTGTATAAATAAGTTTTCTAAGCAAGATTAAAAGTTCAAATGCATCACAAATAATAATTCCTAATATATTTAGGATATAATTAAATTTTATTTAGGATAAAATATATTTATATATAATTCCTAATATATTTATGGTAATTTTAAGTTTTTATAAACTTACTTTTAGTGGATTAATGCAGAATAGAATGTTAACTTTCATCTAAAAGATACAGGTAACCAATGTTCAAACGAATTTTGAATCTAGGAAATTTATAAATCAAGACCTAAATTCCTGTTTAAAAACAGCCCTGACACTATTCTCTACCAATCCACATATATAGGGTGCCTGGATCTTCAATTTACTTCCATGTTGCCATGGCCACACAATGCACTGGCATATATATCAATATAAGCAAATTAATGTTATGTGCCAAAAGTTGATGTTAAAGATCACTAGGTCCAGGGGCACCTGGGTGGCTCAGTGGGTTAAAGCCTCTGCCTTCGGCTTGGGTCATGATCCCAGGGTCCTGGGATCGAGCCCTGCATCGGGCTCTCCGCTTGGCAGGGAGCCTGCTTCCCCCTCTCTATCTGCCTGCCTCTCTGCCTACTTGTGATCTCTCTCTCTCTGTCAAATAAATAGGTAAAATCTTAAAAAAAAAAAAAAAATCACTAGGTCCAGTAAAAAATCAACATTTTGCCAGGCTCAGGAAACTTACTGAGTCTAGGAGCTTTTAACAATGAGAATGAGACAACTAAATTCATAAATTCTGCTACATACATATCTGCTCACTGTCAGACACCACTGAGTTTTGAGATCACTGATATTAAAATTCAAACTTCAGTTTAATATACCCTTCTGGTCCCAAGTTACTGGACTAAACTACATAGCTATTACCAAGTAAAATGTTTAAAAAGGGAAAAGGAGTTAAAATGTTTACAGCATGTGTATGTGTGTACCTATTTTTTTAAAGACGAGAGAGGTACCTGAGTTCTAAAAATAAGAATCTTTAGCACACAAACACAAACTGGAAGAATCACATTACACATGAAACTGGTCAGTTGAACTAAAATTTTAGAGACAAAAAAAGTAAATAAATAATAAGTAAATAAATAAATAAATAAATAAATAAAATTTTAGAGACTAATATATCTACGATGACAACAGTCATGAGCGAAAAACAATTTTTTAAATTCACTATCTATTTTAGGTCTACAATTTCCAGATGAAAAACAAAAATATTCATAGCTAACTAAAAGGGTTTCCAATTAAGTAATTATTATATATCAGACATAGTACTAGTTGCTATACTGACACTTATTTTTAAAAACTACCCTGTAACACAAGTTTACTTATCTTCATTTCTAATGAGGAACTTATGGCTCAGAGATAATAACTGACCTGTCCAGTATCGCAAAGTAAGGACAAAGTCAGAATTAAAACTCAAAGTCAGAATTAAAGCTTTAAAATTATTAAAATTTATTTAGCTCCAAAGTGAAGTGCCCCTTTTCAACATACTACCATAAAATATCATAATTTACACAAATAACTTATTTTAAATATAAGATTGTCAAAAATTTTCTAAATTTCTAAGTCTACTTTAGTAATATTTAGAAGAAAACTTTTTTCTCAAATATCATCTCAGGTATCAGCTGAAGAAAAATTTGTTCCCAAGAAGCTTTCCTCCCTTAAATTAAAAACCAGAAAACCGGTACTTAATCTAAATGGCTGTGAACTCATATTCATACTGAACAATGGGGATACTCTTATTAAAGGAAAAGTACAAAGGAAATTTAAAGACTGAAGTATTATCTTTGTGGTCACTCATCTAAAACCTAGTATAATTAAATGTAGCATTTTTCATGATGAGATTTTATTTAATTCACAATCAGGATAGCTCTTTTCTGCTTTTGGTTTGCCAAGAAGCAACTTTAAATGTCTGTGGTAGGTAAGATATAAATTAATGCACTGTTTCCCTTCTCAATAAACTCTTGCCACAACAAAATGTCCACTGAACTAAACAGTGTGCTCAGCAATGTAGTAAATTTAGTTTCTGGAGCAAACTCATGATCTTATCACAGACCTGTAAGTTCCTGGAATGGTCCACAGACCACAATTTGAGTAATACTGCTTTAGTCCATTTAATTTTCCTTAAGTTAATTCATATTCCTTTATTTCTGAAGAACATCACTGTGATTTTTTTTATACGTCTTTCTCCAAGTGTTTTGAAACTAGAGTAATAAAGAAAGGATAAAGCAACAAAATCCTGAAGCATCAAAGATTCTACAGTAAAGATAAAAAAGAAAAGGTCCTAATCAAGGTGGGGTTTATGAAAATAAGATCATTTTAATTCTGACACCACAATCTACTCTTTCCCCATATTAATCTACTTCAGTGGTACTGGCAAATACATGTATAAGTTTATACTGTGATGCAACAAAGTCAAATATGTTTCATCAGCTATTTGCTGAGACAAATGAAAAATTTATCATATTTAACCACAAGTCATTTTAAGTCATATTTTACAAAGCAGAATAATTTATAGAACAAGTATATTTGCATGGAAATCTAAACAAAAACTATAGCTTACACCAAATAACAATGTCATAATCCTCATATGCAGATGTTAGGAACTCGTGAAGATATGGCCGCATTAATTCTACTCCAGTCTCTGCACAAGACCTATGGTCTAAAAGAAAACCAGTCATAGATGATTACTAGTTTGTTATCCTGGACAAGTACCTGATATATGAAAATTATGAAATGTAATATAAACATTCAAATGCAAACTACTTGAGACTGAATTGCACTGGTTGACAGACATCTTTGAAAACATACAATTTAATATCACTGTGATTCAATTTTAATTAATCAATTTTATTTATTTTGGAAAGAGCAATACCCAGAGTTCAGGCTTATATAGTAAACTGCAAATTTAGTTTTCATATAGTCTATAAAATATAGACGTTATTTTGTGACATGAAAAACAAACTGCTTGTGTTCTGTCAAATAAATAAATAAAATCTTAAAAAAAAGAATTTGAACATAATTAAAAGAAAAACTAGGGGAAAAATATAAAAAATGATTTTTAAATAATCCTCAAAAAATTTAAATGTTAATCAACAGAGAATGATGTGGCTAAATTAAGATACATTCATAAACTAGAGTAGTGGTGACCAAAAAATATGTAACGTTAATTCATAATGAGTAATATTAAATGACTGAGATACTCAAAATATCATTAAGCAAAAGTAAAAAGGATATACATACAAACACACCTAGAAGATACACTTCAAAATATAAGAATAGTTATTTTGGGGGTTTGGGATTACAGATGACTTCAGGATCTTCTACAATGAATGATACACTTTTTATAATAACGTATTAATATAAAATGTAAGATATTTCATATTGGAAGGAAAAAAACAAACAAAAGGAAAAAAGAGAATTGTTATGGGTAACAGAGGATGAAGCACAATTTTAGCTGACTTACCAAATAACGTATAATCAACATCTAGTACCAAAAGCTTTTTTCCTTCCCTGGGAGGATTCAAAATTTCCACTTTATACTCTTTTACTCTGCGAGAAATTTTCAGTAGGTTTTCTTCCCTAATGGAAAAATAAAATCAGGTGAAACATTCACTTTTTTATCACATTACAACCCATTTCCTTTTATAGTATAAAGCACTTACCTATTTTCTACTTCAACTACTTCATCTTCAATATCAAAGTCGTTAACGACATCATCATTGTCAGGAGGTGGACCTAAGACATCTTCCTATTAAGATGAAAAATAGTTTCGTTTTACTAGACTGTCTTCAACATAACAAATACATGCACAACATAAAAAGCAAATAAAAGATACAGTCTGAGTTCAAGAATCTTTCAAACACACACTATGAGAAAATTTCCATATTTTGTAATCCACTATACACATTTACTGGGCAGATTTACCATGTTAAATTTGACCATTTGCACTACTACTGTGCTTATGGCTAACTATATACTAACAAGTTCCCTAGTATTTGTTTTCCACTGAGTTAATACCACATACACTGAAGTTTTTATTTTTCACTGATTGCCAAACTGACAATTTTACCACAATTAAAACCACGATACAACAATGTAATATAAAATCATATCTTCAAAGGGACAAATGGTAACAAAAGTAAACATTTACCAAGCTCTCCTCACGAGTTCCCATCATCATGATTTTAGTATTTGGTTTCAGTTTGAGAGCTCCAAGCTTAACATCATTTTCTGCAGGTTTGCCTACAATACAAGCAAATGACTGTTTTCTCACTAAAGTTCAGGTGCTAGTTTCACTATCCCATTATATAAAACCCTGACATTAAAGGTTTTGGTACAGATTTCACAGCAGTTTTTTTTTTTTTTTTTTCCCTTAAATTAACAAACGGTCACTGCTGAATTAGCAATGCCTAACACACTAAAAAGTAGCAACTAATACAAGATTTGTTTTTTCCCCAACTCCATCTCAGAGGAACACCTTTATTCAACCAGCTAAACAAAATAAATTCATGTTTTATTTTGTTGTTCAAGATGAAGATGTTCTCCAGAAAGTCTTGAACACTGAGCACAAGATAAAACTAGAATTTATTGCTATCCAAGATTCACCTTTCAGTGATATGACAAACACAAACACCATGAAAGTCCCTTTCAGACTGGATATGAACACTACTTATAATTTTTAAATCATCATTTTAAATCATCATTACTTTTGAAGCAAAAAAGATAATTTAGGGAGAGTACAAGAACTAAGCTGTAATGAAAAATCTGTGCTAGAACACCGATGTCAGAAATTACACTGTTTTACCTGAGACTTCTAGGGCCAAAGATTTAATCAGCAAACACCAACTGTCACAGGAATCAAAAGTAATCTTAATAGTGGTGGTATTTTCAAGTAATTTTTAATATTCTTTTATCATAAAACAATTTTAGGAATATCCCTTAACAAAGAAATCTCCAAGGGAAAAACTTAATAAAGAGAAAAAATAACTAACATAAAAATTCATAAATATATCAATGCAAAAAGTTTAAAGTGAGGAGAGAATTACCTTTAACTTTAAGTCCAAGTAACTTTTGGCGTTCTGGTAGCACTCCTGTAAGGGTCTTCAGAAACTGTTTGAGATCTAGCACAGTATCATCTTCTGAAAGTGTGGTCACTGAATATTCCTGTCCACCCCATTTTACGATGATAGGGAGGGCCATCCTTGAAACATATGATCAAGCAGCTTTCACTCAGAAAAAGACACCTAAAAAGAAAGGGACACAGAAGTAATTAAGTTAAAATAGATATAGCAAAGGTGTAGCCAAACTTGTAACTAAGTTTTAGGAGCAATGCAGTTTGAGTCCCACTTTACAATTTGATGGTGGAAAATAACATTTTCTCCTTACAGAAATGCTACCAGAACACCAAAAGTACTTAGGGCTCAAAGTTAAAATTACTCTACCCTCCCAATTTTTGGCTTAAAGTTACTACTTCCTAAAGATCTGTCCAATTCTCCCTGTTCGACTGTTAAGCTACAAATGATCAGCTACCTATCCCTCCCTCTCTGTTTGACCAGGTTTATGCTATGATGGAACTTTCATACTCATTTAACATTTGAGAAGTGGCACAGTGAGTTGTTAAAACTCTAGAGCCAGAGTACCTAGGTTCAGATCCCAGCTACCCCACTTATTAGCTATTTGACTTTGGCAAGTTGTCTAGGTTTCCTTATCGGTACACTAAAGATAAGAATACTATCTACTTTGGAGTTCTTACGAGAATTAAATTAGCTAATATTTATAAGTCATATAGACCTGGCACATAGTAAGCACTACATAAATAAGTACTGGCCAGATAAATTTTCTTAACAACTTGAGCAGAAGTGTTCCAGGCACTGTGCTAAATGAAAAGTACAGCCATTACGTGTTTCATATTTAACAAACTGGACAGTTTTAATGCAATGTCATTTAACAAGGTTGATAAGAATTGTCCCTCTTTTATAATTAAGGAAATGGGACTTCAGAGAGGTTAAGTAATCTGCTCATGGGCACAAACAGAACAGGTCTTCTGACTAAATCTCATGTTTCTTCCCCTACATCACAACTGCTTCTCTTAAATTGGGACCTACAGGAGGCAAGGTGTCAAAGATCAGTAAATACAAAACCCACAGGCACAGATACAAGCATAGATAGGTCAAATACTGGGTGTTATACTCATCAACAATAGCATGTAGGTCTCTTCTTCCTTGAAACTTTCTATCAATTTTCCTAAATCCATCCCCCCACCTCCAGTTCAGGGAACTGAATTTCCTAATCTCCATTTCCAAATGTTATTGCTTGTTCAATGAAATATTTGATTGCACTCTCCCTGGATTATGACCAGCTGCAGGAAGGCAAATTGTGAATCATAATATGCAAAAGTAACTTAGAAACTTAAGACGTCTTCAACATGTCCACTGGAAGAGAACACCAGAAAAATCACTTATACTTATGCTGTTATGTTTTATCTGCCCTACTGAAATTTACATAAAGAGTTAATTTAGGGCAATGTATTCTGTTAGAGATAACTTTCCCTAACAAATGTTATGATTCTCAATAAAAAGCTAAAGAAGCCTTTTGAGCCAAACTAAAATATGGTTTAAATATTACTTCTCTGTGAAAGTGGAAATAAAAATGAAAATCTGTAAGAACTGAGAGTGCAAACAGCACTTACACAGTTTATGGGGGGGGGGTGGAGTTTGGAGATCACTTGAGCTCCAGATGAGCCTGGACAAGTCATTTCACCTCTAGACCAGTATTCTTAAAGTGTGGCCTCAGATCAATCAACAGCATGACCCTACACGGTAACTTGTTAAAATTACAGTTGGGGTTGGAGAGAAAGGACCTAGCAATTTGTGTTTTAACAATCCCTGCCCCAGCCTCCCCCTCACCCACATCTCGAGACATACTAAAAGTTTGAGAGCCAGTGCTCTAGACTTCAATTTTATCAGCAAAAAAAGAAAATATGCCAGATGGTGTGGGCTCTGCATGCTTAGTAAAGTAGTATACAAATGTTATACATTATACACCTACACCGCTAGTGGGAATTCCAAGTTGGCAACTGCCCTACTGGACCAAGCATAAAAAAACAAACCCCACCAAAATTTTAAATGCATAGTCCTTAGAACTGCTTTTGAACCTCATTTCAGATCATTCACAACAAAACACACAAAGCAAATCCCTGAGTCCTTTTATGTTTTCACATTTAACCTCCTTTCTCACACAATTCGAATATTTTGTATCATTCTAGACCCTATCAGATTTATAAACCGAAAACTGGGGGGTGGGAGTGGTTGGCAATTAAACCCACACAAGTAAGGATCTCATCTTTACGGTGAACATCGAGTCAAGAGCAGCTGTTTGAGTTAGTTCTTCTGTCTACCATACTGTACTGACTTGCCTAGTCCATTCCAAAACTCCTACCTCGAAATAAGGCGATTGATATTTACTTAACAAGAAGAGTTGTTAACGCGTGAGGTAACGCCCGTGACAGCACTTCGCAAACTCTAAAGACGAATGGTGGCAGTGACGGAATAACGACAACATGCTAAACAACGTATCTCACTTGGTTTTCGCAATCCTCATCTCATGACTGCTGTCCGCATTAGACATATTAGAAAACTGAGAAAGAAAACAACTTGTCCCAGACCACACGACTAAAACGTACAGCAAAGGCGAAAATTTGAAACTAACAGCATTAAAAGTTAACAGCTGGGGAACTGAGAGGTTAACTTTTCAACAAGCCTACAGCACACCAGCAGCCAACCGCGAGGTAGCGCAGAGACGACAGCTATGGGAAGTGAATGGTCTCGGACAGCATACAAGCATGGGAGAGGCTCAAAACCCCCGAGGCCGGATGCCTTCAACAGGGAGAGTGAGGACGACGGATGCACAAACCCCAGAGGAGGGAGGAATGAAGTTAGGGGACGCAAACCCCACTGGGGATCGAGAAGCCCACGACAGAAGCGAGAAGGCCGGATGGGCGGGCAGAGGCCCCTGCGACGAGCTGGCCGGGGCCAGAGGCCTGGGCCGCAGACTGGGTCGGACGCAGCCCAGGGCGCCCAGGAGCAGCCTCCAGCCCGCCGCGGCCCGCCGCAGTGGTGGCCGCGTCGCGCGAACAGAGCTACTGCGCTGCGGTCCCCCAGCCCCAACGGCCTCTCCATGGGCAGCGCCCCGGGGTGTCCTGCGTCCCCTCACCTGGAGCGCGGCGGAACCCGCAGCAGTGGACGCAGGAACCAGCCGCAGCGGAACCGAGGGCGACCGGAAGTGAAAAACGGGGCCCGGAACCGGCTAACGAACCGGAAGTTCAGGTTGGAAACGGAAACGCGCTGGAGACAGCGGCTCTTTCCCGCGTTGGTCTTTGGAGAGGGTAATCCTAGATGGCCGCTGCCAGGGATCTCCTCACCGGGCGAGGGAGCCGGGCCTTTCCGAGACTTTAACCACTGTGCAGATAGCTAGGGCCCCGGCCGGCTGCCGGACCTCCCCTGTTTTGCGCATGCGCCTGGTAAGGGGCGCTGAGCTGGGCGGGTACTTCAGGTGTATGACGTCTCTGGTATTGTTTCGCTGAAGTCGGAGGAGTGTCGGTGGCGTTACCCTGGCATCTCAGGTGTGCTGAGACCTTCGTAGGACTCGTGTGGCTTTGTCCTGTTCCGGATGAGGGCTGAAAGGTGACTTTTAAGACTGAAGACTTCACACACACACACACACACACACACACACCCACACACACCACCGCCACCCGCCCTCCCGCCCCCGCGCGCCGGCACCAGGGGCCTCCAACATTAGTAATTTTAGGAGCTTAGACTTCTACCCATTTTACCCAAAGCAAGGGTAAACTGAGGACCAGCGGGAAAGGGAAGGGGCTCCCCCTAAGTCACTCAGAAAACCAAAGACGCAAATCTCAGTACGGCAGCTGCCTTCCAGATCACTAAAGTATTGTATCGAATTTTATCTCCACTTGTCCATCCCCGCCCCACCTCTGAATTTGAGGAAGCCAATTACAAATCCTGACGAAAGAATTGTAGACTTTTGTGGAAATTCAGAGCGGTCCCTATCTGATTCGTACAGCGAGCTTTCAACGTGTATCACTTTTGCCTTAAGGCAGAAGAAGAAAAAAATCATTGCAGCTAGATTGCTCTGTATGGCACCAGACAAGACTTAGATTTTGAAAAGGAAGGGAAAATGCGAACACAGTATTGGCTTCAGATATGCACCGGTCTTTGAGTTACGTATATTTTTCCTTCTCCTGACAGTGATGTAACCGATTCATGTTTCCCTTTTGGCCGGGATGGAAGGGAAGCAAAGAGTCAAGTTTTGTGTCTTAAGAGTTTTTTAGTTAAGACAAACACTATTTTATGTTCTTCTTACCTCTGTCTTTTGGTAACTTTTATTGCATGAGTAGTGCATGAGAAGCTGCTCATTTTTTAAATTGAAACATCTTCAGTGAAAATAAAAAAGCACCTTCTCCTTAAAAGGGGGGGGGGGGGGGCTAATGCCTGGGTGGTTCAGTTGATTAAGCATCCCAATCTTGATTTCAGTTTAGGTCATGATCTCAAGGTGGTGAGATAGAGCCCCCCACCCCACCCCACCCAACCCTCTTGGCTCTATGCTGGTCTTGGAGCATGCTTAAGATTCTATCTTTCCTCTCCCCCTCCACCCTGGCTCCCAAGTAACCCACACACATACAGACACACACACACACTCACTCTCTCAAAAAAAAAAAAAAAAAAAAAAAGGAAAAACCCCAAGTTAAAAGAATTTGTAGAAAAATCACACATTAACAGTCCAGTCAAAGAGATTGTCAAAAAAACAAGGGACTGAACTCCAGAATGAATTGTAGTTTCCTTTCAACGCAGTCTGTTCCTTGTTCATGTGCTAACCAGCTGCTTGGCCACATTATATTTTTTAATGTTAGTAGAGAACCTTGTTTTTGTTAATCATAAATGTCAACTAAGACCATTTAAATTTTAAATCTAAGCGAAAGGATGCATAAAAAATTCTTTTTAATGATAAAATAGCCATTGTGCAAGGAATCTGATAAGTTTGATGTTACTCAAGTGTAGATAATTTAATGATTGCAAGTGTTGAACAATGATATCTAATGGTAGCAGCCTATTTTGGACAAATCATCCATTTAACAGATGATTTGTCCCTATCTCTGTTTTTCCAAGTCCATTTCTACTTATCTAAACATTCATGAAATAAAAAATTATCTTAAGAACTAAAGGAGCTGGAAAATTATGAAGAAAGAAAACATATTGGTGCAGATGGGGAGAAAGGGGAGCCCTCTTACACTGTTGGTGGGAATGCAAGCTGGTACAGCCACTGTGGAAAACAGTATGGAGGTTCCTCAAGAAGTTAAAAATACAGCTACCCTATCACCCATTCTACTACTAGGTATTTACCCTAAATAATGTACATTACAAATGTAATGATCCAAAGGGGCATGTGCACCCCAATGTTTATAGCAGCAATGTCCACAATAGCCAAACTATGCAAAGACCCAGATGTCCATCGACAGATGAATGGATAAAGAAGATGTGTTACACACACACACACACACACACACACACACACACACACACACAAAATGAAATATTATTCAGCCATCAGAAAGGATAAATACTTAAAATTTACATTGATGTGGATGGAACTGGAGGGTATTATGCTGAGGGAAATAAGTCAATCAGAGAAAGACAATTACATGGTTTCACTCGTATGTGGAATATAAGAAACAGCACAGAGGATCATAGGGGAAAGGAGGGAAAAATGGGAAGTCATCAGAGAGGGAGACAAACCACAGAGACTTAACTATAGGAAACAAACTGAGGGCTGCTGGAGTGGAGGTGGGTAGGGGGGTTGGGTAATTGGGTGATGGGCATTAAGGAGGGCATGTGATGTGATGAGCACTGGGTGTTACATGCAACTGATGAATTATTGAACTCTACATCTGAAACTAGTGCTGTACTATATGTTGGCTAGTTGAATTAAAAAAAAAGGAGCTGGACTCCTGGTAACTAGTAATAAATACAAAATGAACTTTAAAAAAAAAGGTGCTCAGAGCAACTCACAAGTGTCATTAGGAAGAGAATAATTAAATTTCTGCCTCCTGTTGCTCACTAGATCTTTCCTTCTAATGTGTGGAGAGTAATATACTTGTGCCTCACTCGTAATTCTTTGCAGCAACTAAAGATGCCTAGGAATTCTTCCCTAGGTTTCAGTAAGTTATTAGGTCTAAGAGACTAGAGGAAATATGGAACTGATTTCATAAAACCAGATGATAAACTGCTGACATCACTTTGATCATGTTTGGATTAGAAGGCTAAAGGACTTTTCCTGCACTCAAGCCAGAAATCCACCACCACCTTACTTTTATGCCCACGTTCCCCTAACCCATTTACTTTCTTACCCTTTTCTCAGGCTATTTTCACTCTCCTCCCTATTGAAAAACTATCCTTTCTTCCTCCTTCCCTTTCTTCTCTCTCTCTCTTTTCTCTTTTTCTTCCTTCCTCCCTTCCTTTCTTATTTAGTTACTATAGCACTTTGTTTCTCCTGATACCTGTTCCCTCGCCTTTTCTCTGACTGCAGTCAGTGTGCTGAAAATGATTAGAATCTGCCCCGTAGGGCACACTCTACAGGCTCTTAATTCAGCCTGTCAAGTTTACTATCTTTCTCTATTTAGCTTGCTTTCCCAAATGACAACTTAAAACCACAACTCTCTTTAAACCTCAGATCTTCCAGTTTACATCCTTGTTCTTGGCAGATGACCTTGTCTTATATTTTTGATAAGAAAATAGAAGGTCTCTGGGCACCTGGGTGGCTCAGTCAGTTAAATGTCTGACTCTTGATTTCGGTTTGGGTCATGATCTCAGGGTCATGGGATTGAGCCCCATGTCAAACTCTGCACTCAGCAGGGAGTCTGCTTGAGGTTCTGTCCTTCTCCCTCTTCCCCTCCCTGCTCAAAAAAAAAAAAAAAAAAAAAGAGAGAGAGAGAGAGAGAAAGAAAGAAAATAGAAGATCTCAAAGAGAAATTGCCTTAACTTCAGACTCTGAATCTATGAACTAAGTTACATCCTGCACCTGTCTTTGCTTATTTTGCTTCTGTTTTTATATGGCAATTTCCTTCTACCTGAAGCCAGCCCTTATACTTGTGCTCTGGCTCCTTACTTGTCAGCCTTCTTTAAATCTAGTATCCTTTCTGGCACCTGTATTTTTAAGCTTTCTCTCTACTGGTTCATTTCCATCAATGATAAGCATGTGATGGTATCTTGCCATCAAGATATCTTTCCTTTCACAGTTGGACATTTCAAAACATTGTTTACATTTGTCTAAACTTGACACAATCTGTAATTCCATATTTATTTCAGAAGATTATTTTTAGTGGCAGTCTCTCACTGTACTGTAAGCTTTGTGAGGAACCAGACCATGTCTGATTAATTCACCATTATATTCCCAGAGTCTAGCATGATGCGGGTTAAAGCAATGGATGAATATTCATGAATAGAATGTCAAGTAATGAGAACTTGTTATATATGATGCATATAATAATGCATATCCATGAATGATTATAATATGTATATGGCTCCTGCTGCACAGGAGAGTTCTGAAATATACACCAATATATTAACAGTTCATGGCACCATAGGATACATTCAGTATTCATTAGTGAGTGAATTGAAATTATCTCTTGATGGCATCAGAGCAAGTATTTTTTCATCTTGTTTATGTTTTCTATATTTGGATTTTTTACAATAATTTTGCATTCTTTTTCTTTTTAATATAAAAAAACTCATGAAGGCATTTTTTTAAAAATTCAAATAATACAGATATATCCTTAACACATAATTTTATGCCTATCCTTGCAAATCTTTTTTATACTTTAGATGTATATATATTTGTATATACAGTTTGTATATACTTTTAAAAAATAATTATAGATTTATAGGAGGTTGCAAAGAGAGAGATCATGTGCACCCTTCACCGTTTTTTTTCTAATTATTATGTTTCTCATAGACTTAGCGTCAAAACTTGGACATTGGTATATTAGTATATGCATATAATTCTATATCATATGTTATCAGACATAGATTCACAAAGCCACTACAATCAACATACAGAACTCTTCCATCACTACAAAGATACTCTTGTGCTACCCATTTATACCACCCCACCCCCATTCCTCTTACCATTTCTAACCCTTGGTCATTAATCTATTTCCCATCTTTACGTTTCTGTCATTTCCAGAATATTATGTAAATGGAATCCTACATATATGCCTTTTGAGATTTTTTTTTCCACTCAGTATAAGACAACTGAGGTCTATTCAAACTATTGTCTGTAGCAAAAGTCCATTCCCTTTTGTGGCTGAGTAGCATTTCCTGGTATGGATTTAACACAATTTTTCTAATTATTCACCTGTTTGGATTTTTTTTTTCAGTTTTTGACTTTTACAAACAATATAGACCATTTGTATGTAATATAATTGATATGTTAAGGCTTCCAGTTCATTGTTTAAGTCTGCCAGTTCATTGTTTTCTA